TGAAGCAAGTTCAAAACTTTGTACCTTCAGTACACCCTTTGGAAGACTTTTTTTTTATGGAATTCGATCAGCTCCAGAAGTTTTTCATAAACGTTTTAAAAATATTTTCCATCTTGAGAGTGTCGATATATATGTAGATGATATAATTGTTTGGGTGAGAAATCAAGATGAATATGATGAAAGGTTGGGAAGAGTTTTTGAAATAGTTCGAAAAAATAATGTAACTTTCAATAGAGAAAAATGTAGATTTGGACTCAGTGAAATAAATTTCATGGGACATAAACTGACAAAAGATGGATATTTTACAGACGAAAATAAAATTGCAGTTGTAAGAGATATGCCTTTACCAAAAAATAAAAATGATGTGCAGAGATTTTTGGGTATGATCACATATGTCGGTAGATTTATGCCGAATTTATCTAATGAAAATTATCCACTTCGTGAACTCCTCAACAAGAATGTAATGTTTGAATGGTCAGATAGACATACGAAATAGTTCAATGGATTGAAAAAATATTTGTTAGTTTGCCTGTGTTGCAATTTTATGATATAAATAAACCGGTAACAGTCTCGGTTGATGCTTCAAACGATGGATTGAGTGCTTGCCTTTTGCAAAATAATCTGCCCTGTGCTTACCTTCAAAAGCCCTTACGGATACTCAAAACAATTGGGCCCAAATAGAAAAAGAGCTATATGCAATACTATTTGCTTGCCTTTTGCAAAATAATCTGCCCTGTGCTTAGCTTCAAAAGCCCTTACGGATACTCAAAACAATTGGGCCCAAATAGAAAAAGAGCTATATGCAATACTATTTGGGTGCGAACGTTTTTATGAATTTGTTTTTGGTAGAACATTCGTTGTAGAAAGTGATCACCTTATTAGGAGTATTCAAAAAGCCTCTCATATCTTTCAAGATTACAAAAGATGATGATGCAACTACAAAAATTTGATTTTGAAATAGTTTTCAAACCTTGAAATGGTCTTTTTATTGCAGATGCCTTATCCCGATCATATTTGGAAACGAGTGGGAATGATGTTACTCTTGATGATGATTAGGACATTTGTGTAATAGATATAAATTTTAGAATTACTGATAAAAAATATAGAGAACTAGTTGACAAAACTTCAAGTGATTATGAATTAAATTTATTGAAAAGTGTTCTAAAATACGGTTGGAAATTAACAAAGTTCCTTTGGAAATCCGTCATTATTATAAGTTCACGAGTGAATTTATTGAGAGTAATATGTTATTGTTCAAGGGTCAACAATAAATTACACCTACTGATATGAGACGTGTTATCATAGAAAATGTTCATTTCGGGCATTTTAGCATAAATCGTGCAAAAGATTGTTTTTAATGGCCCGGCATGTTCAAAAATATAGAAGATGTTATTTCAAATTGGAGAATTTGTTTGAAATATAGTTGTAAACAATAAAAACAGCCCTTAAGATGATGACACTTCAGTAACACGTAACCGTAAGTTTATTGGAACTTTCCCAATGTGAGTGAAGATAATACAGAAAAGACAGAAGTTAGTAGCGATTCACATTGGATTTGAATCGCAGGAGATTAAATCCATTTGGAAAAACGTTCTCAGGAAGTTTATTCCACATGAACGCAGTTCTTCAGTTGAAAGAGTTCTTAACCCATTTATGCCTAACGGGTTGAAAACGACCCACTGCCTTTTATATATGCACCTGTTCATATCGCTATGTTGAGACGGTTGCCTATAGTTTCATTCGAATGTTAAAACTGCATATTTTGTTGTAGGGTCAGTGAAAAAGCACGTTCTACAGTGAGTTGTTCGTATTTGTAACAAATCAAAGTGTAATATTTCTTCGGGTGACATGGCTAAAAGTAATTACTGGTAAGTATTTCAATTTTATAAAGAAAATGATCAATTTGTGATATCTTGTTGTTTATTCTTCAAAGTTCATAGTACGTTCACATTTATGAAGTCAGGCTTGGACACTTTGAGTAAAATTGAAATATAATTTGGTTGGGCAGATATGTGATATATTTTTCTTATATTTAGGAAAACACCACTAACAACAGCCGATCTGTTAGATGAAATAGAAAGACTTGACGAAGACGATCCTAATATTCCTGATGATATATATATTACTCCGCCGGACGACAACGATTTTGAAAGTGCTGAGGATTCTGGGGACGAGGACTGCAATGATCCGAATAGACTGAATCCTAGGCAGCTTCAAGCAGAAGCAGAAAGCAACAAGCTAGAGGAAGACAACAGTGACAATGAGAAGAAAACTCAGTTACAAGAGGAAAGTGGACTGTCTAGAAAAAATAAGTTTTCAGAAAAGCGTAATAGGTGAAAAGCGTCACAATCATCTACTGAAAAATTTCCTATGGTTGACATATTACCTGTGCTTACGCTAAGCGATAAAAGTGAACCTTCAGTTTTTCAGAACTCTTTCTAAATGCAGATGTACTCGAATATCTTGTAAAATATACCGTTTTGTATGCAAGTAGCAAAAACAGTCGATTAGAACTAGGCACCGATGAGCTACTCGTTTTCATAGCAATATTATACTTGAGCGGTTATGTTCCACTTCCACGTCGAAGAATGTTTTGGGAAGGGCGAGATGACACTCGAAATATTCTGGTGTATAACTCCATGCGTAGAAATAGATTTGAGGAAATATTCAGATTCCTACATGCAGCAGACAACAATAACTTGGCANCCCGTGAAAGTATATATAAAAGAGAGACAAATCTCCAACCTTTCTCCGAAGTTCCAGGCTATGCAGGTGATGTTATCGTCTCCAATCAGGTGAATGGCTCTTTTCTGGATGGAATCCAGCAACTTCGGGGTATGTTTGGGGCAGAGCTCCAGGCATGAGAACAATACTCCAAAAAAGGTCTGATTTGAGCCTTATATGAATCATCAAAAGTTTCTGAGGTGTGTACAGTTTTCTGGTTCGCAACAGTGTTTCAAGCTTTTGAGATCCCTTTTGCAATCCCAGCGACATAATTTTGCCAAGACATATTGGTATTCATTTTAACCCCCAACAAACTTATCGAAGCAGAAAGCGGAATTGTCTGACCTCAGGAAGCTGAGAAGCTATACAGAAAAATGATTCAACAAGCCAAGACAAGCCAAGTTTGGCCAGCAAACCCTCATACAACACACGGTCAAAGGCCTTAGAAATATCAAGCGTAACAGCTCTTGATTCTCCATGTTTCTGGATTGCGTTATTCCAAATATGTTTCCGAAAGCAATATTGATGATCGCTCAAGATGTTGAAGCCTTCCAAATATTTGAGGATATGGTGGTTTACGGCTTTCTCTACGATTTTTGATATCACTGATAGCAAAGCGACTGGTCTATAGTTATTTGGAAGATTTTTCTTGCTCTCTTTGGGAATAGGCTGAACGCGAGCAATCTTTCAACAAAACGGAAAAACCTCTTTCTTGTAAGACAGGTTGAAGAGTCTGCAAAATACTGGTTCGAGTTTATTTGCGCACTTTTTAGGATTATTGAAAGAAACCTGTTCGAATGGTCTTACTCTCAAGACAGGTTGAAAATTCTGCAAAATACTGCTGCGAGTTTATTTGCGCACTTTTTGGGATTATTGAAAGAAACCTATTCAAATGGTCTTACTCTCAAGTGTTATCTATTATCCGACCGATTCTCTACTCTGACGATGCATCAGTGCCAGAACGATCTTCATCCACACAAAATGATCAATACTTGGCCTTTCTAAGAAAGCATCGAGGATTCTAGTTTCTCGATTGGAATAAAAAGTCTTTCAACTCAAGAAACAAGAATTTCGTACTGTCATCAAAGAGAGAGAGAGAGATTTATTTACATTCTTTTCTGAAGATGATGACTTTGTTTATTATTCAGATACTTAATTGAAAGCAATGAGAATATACAAATATAACTCGATTGAATGGCGCTGAAATGCCTATTTATGCATAACGGCAATGAGGTGGATTCATTATCCACAGCAACTACAGTCAAAGAAGAATATGCTCCTGTGGCTTCCGTTATGAAGAAATCAAATAACACGAATACAAGTGGCTCATATGTCTAGACTTGAAAATGGTGAATATTTTGCTGGGATAATAAGGAGGGGACACAATATATTCTTGTCCCATCTATTTGTAGGACAGCAGAGCTAAGTTTCAGCACCGGTTTCGAAAAGACTGGCTGTCCAGGTAAGTTATGGTTCCCTAGTAATCGCATTATACTGCCGCCTCTGCATATCGAAATAAGGCTCCTGAAACGATTTGTCAAAGCTTTGAATAAGGATAGTGATTGAGTACAGAGAGTTCACCGTACACAAACACTGAACACTGAGTTTTTCAACAGCAAATCTTCATTATCACACCTCTACACGTGTTTCGATCACGAAGTGATCATCTTCAAGAGAAAGAGGAAGATCAAGAGTTTGATCTTCCTCTTGAAAATGATCACTTGGTGATCGAAACACGTGTTACAATAAAGATTTTGTGTTGAAAGAACCTCCCAGTAATATTCATTACTACACCAAAGTTCCAAACATTGCATCACAAGTTATATGAATGATAGTGAAAAAAGCCTGGAATGAATTCGTTTGGAATGCCCATTTTCTGGAAGATGTGCTGAATAAAGAACAGTGGGAATGGTTCCATCAAGATATCTGAACTGAAGGGAACTTGAAGGTAGTACTATTTTCAAGAAGCAACTAAGGAAAAGCACGAGAGCTGAAAACAGGACAATGATGAAATAAAACGGGGTGATAAGGCTTCAATTTTTGGAAAAACATTGAATATGTTTACAAACCACAAAAAACTGGGGTATATTTTCGACACAACATTCAATGCAATTGTATGCAATTTTGTACCGCATAAGGAATATCAAGTTAAGGCCTCAACAAATAAACGAACCAATATTCTCACAGTCAGGTTGTTGTTGGAGCATTTTTGACTCTGAGTTTGACATCAAGTTTGGTTTGGCAATGCTGCGTAGAAGTAAATTAACAAGCGAGTAGGACTCTATACTGAGAAAATAGAAGATATTCTCTTCTTCCAGCTACACTGCATAATACGAAATGGCAATTATTACAATACCACGACAAACTTTGGATCAAATATTATAGACAATTCCAAATTTCCATTTAGAATGTCTTAATTTTTTAGCTCGAGACAGTAGATCGATTTGTTTTCTGTCATGAATGATGTTCATTCAATTTAATTCAATGGTATTAACTCACCACAAAAACTATGTCCATTCCATATCGACTGAGTTCATCATACACAAAGGTGTCGTTCTTAGTTTGATATAATAATAAGTTTATATTTCCGAGTACCCTGATTATAGTAAAGATGACAATGAAAACCATTGGCCAACCAAATATACTGCTGAGCTGTTCGACAGAATCTGAACATTTTCCGAACAATCTATCGATTTCCATCAGTCTTCCAGAAAATTTCTGTGGATTCATTGATGGTGAGTCCGTGGACATACTTTCCAGCAAGTCTCCGATATGACTAAAGCCCGCCGAAGCAATATTGGTCGCACAGATCATGAATATTGCGAAGAAAAATTTCAGGTAATAATTCACACGATTGAAATTCCTCAGCACTATTTCCAGTGCTGTGGCGTTCCTCAAGGTATCCAAATAGTTCTCAAAAATTATGTATGCGAGGAAAATGAGGTGGGTGATGCCGAATATCACCGCTGATAGTTTACCATAGTTGCTCTTGTTTTTAGTTACGTGCGATATATACTTCAATAACTTCAGAAGAGAGTTCCAAGTGTCCTTTTCTTTCATAGCAAACAATAAGGCGGACACGAAAAGATGTTGATCGATTCCCTCCAAAATACTTGTAACAAAGTACGAAGTATCTGTACTTTCAATTCTCACCTTCACGGAATAATATATTGAGAATACATTTCCGAGTGTTATCAGCACTAAATACACCGTTCTGATGAAGTTTTCAATTTTTTCTCGATTATCCGATCCTGATGGAATGAATCCAAATATCTGGGCTAATTTGTATTGCTTGAAGACTATATTGAGGTATATATTCTCCTTGTGAGACATTTCGACTAGCTTCGCTTTTAACTGATCCAAAAGTGTGGAATTTTTCCAATTCAACCTAGATTTGCTGGTAATGATATTTTTTCATGATAACAATCAACCTATTATATTAAATATTTATTGAACACTTAGAATATGGTATATTCGACTTCCCTCTGATGGATATTTAATTATAACTCTCGAATTGATTATATTGACTATTAGCTATGATATAATGCAGCAGCTCGTTTGGAATATGCTCTGTCCAAATGAAAAATCTATAAATTGATTGAATGTTGGTTCAACGTTTTATTCTGATCAAGGTTGTTTCGGATCTCGTATCAACAACTGCTTGAACTTTTTCATATGTCACTACATATTATTAATAATATATTGAGAATACATTTCCAAGTATTATCAGCACTAAATACACCGTTCTGATGAAGTTTTCAATTTTTTCTCGATTATCCGATTCTGATGGAATGAATCCAAATATCTGGGCTAATTTGTATTGCTTGAAGACTATATTGAGGTATATATTCTCCTTGTGAGACATTTCGACTAGCTTCGCTTTTAACTGATCCAAAAGTGTGGAATTTTTCCAATTCAACCTAGATTTGCTGGTAATGATATTTTTTCATGATAACAATCAACCTATTATATTAAATATTTATTGAACACTTAGAATATGGTATATTCGACTTCCCTCTGATGGATATTTAATTATAACTCTCGAATTGATTATATTGACTATTAGCTATGATATAATGCAGCAGCTCGTTTGGAATATGCTCTGTCCAAATGAAAAATCTATAAATTGATTGAATGTTGGTTCAACGTTTTATTCTGATCAAGGTTGTTTCGGATCTCGTATCAACAACTGCTTGAACTTTTTCATATGTCACTACATATTATTAAATAAAGTTTTCCACTATGCATGTCTGTCGGGAAACGAAAAACTGAAAATGTATGGGAAAGAAAGGTTTTGTCTTTCTAACCGTCCATTTCGATATAAAGAAATGTGTGAATCTTCCAAAGAAAGGTAGAAATTGATTTGATTCGATATTCCCAACATTCGTTATGAAATTGAATCAGATATCATTCACAGGATTTCTTCACAATATAGTAAATAAAAGAGGTTCACACTTTCATAGTTTAATACTATTCGAAATCTATGGAAGAACAAATGACATTAAAATGAGTAGCTGATTCATAAGTTATATATAAGCAATATAACGTGAAATAAAAAATTAAAATGGAATGAATTAAATAAAATATTCCAAATAAAAGATGAAAATATTCATCGAGCGCTTTAACCTCTCTCCTCTTACCTCTCTCCGTTTCACTGGTTTAGCGGGAATTGACCGTTTGGCGGGAGTTTACCATATTCTGCTTGATTACTGGTTTCCAAATGTTGCCTATCCCAACGCTAGCTTGGCTGAATCCGTCGTTGGACAAGATATATGCAGCTTGTTTGAACTTCCACTCAAACCAGTGTTCCTCCCTGCATATGATCTCAGCTTGGGACGTTTGGTGGCCTGGTTTCCGTGACACTACTACATATGTTGTTTCCGGATCTGAAGCAGGTTCTGATGTTGTACTTGGACCCGATTCTACTCAACCTTGTCGACGTAGGGAAGGGCAAGCACTGGTAGTGAGAGCTTCTCTTCCTTGCGAGGCTCTTGGTATCTTCTAGCCAAAGCCTGTTCCATCATTACTGTGGAGTAATCATTCCATTGAAGAACTTTTTTGATGATACGTAGTTTCTTCCTGCGTATGACAGAGCTGGAAAGCACTATCCACAAGAGTTTGGTAGATTCATGATGGTTTGATTCGTGATTCACATGCTGTCCCGTGTGCTTGGGTTTCCGGTTTACAGAGATGTTTCCCACTCAGTGTCGGTCCTCTTGAACAATACGTCTGAGAATGGTTATTCGTTGTGGACTTCCTTCTCCATTATGAAGATAATGGTAGGTTTTACGCTGTTGATGTGCTTCAGAAAGGTGCCTAGTTCTTTATTCCCATGGTTCCATAATATGAGGCTTCTTGTGGGTTTCTTCAATAACCAGAGTTTCAATCCACTCAATATATATATATAATACAAGGTGATGTTTC